ATTCAGTCCCAGAAAACCGCTTCACCAGAAAATATTTGTGTCACTGTAATATCTGCACTGTAGCATAGATTTATGCAAGCAGCTTGCCTAAAAAACACAAACTCTTATGGTGCAGAGGCCATCTAAGCAAGCAGTAAGTGCAAAAGAGTAAGCCTGTCAAACAGTAGAAAATAAGCTCCAAGAAGGCTAGAAAAGAGCATGCTTCTCTAAATGAACTTCAAAGGAAAAAAAGACCACAGGAACGCAGGAAAGTACAGACTCTGGAAACTGTAAAAAGCAAATATTGTATAGAATTCCAAGAAAGAATGTTAGTTTTAGGCTTATAGATAGCTTGCTTACACCTCAGCCACCCCTCAAATTCAGAATATCAAAACACAATTTTCTAACGTGCAGTAACAGGAGTAGGAATTACCATTATTTCCTCGGATAAATGCGTCCCCGTACTTGTTCTTTAACTGTCCATTTACATATTCCTCAGTCTGCTCCAGAGCTATATTCATATATCCATCCAGGCAAGCCAGGACACCTGTAAACAATGGCAGTTTAAAAGGGAATCAGCTTGAACTTGTTTTAAAATAAACAAAAATGCATTGTGTTTGAACAGTACAGGAAAAAAAACCGCCCTCTATCCATCTAGCAAACTAAAAACCCAAGCACGGACATACATCTTCAAATAATTCAGCTGGGAGAAAGGAATCCCAAGCACTCTAGTAGCAATGATATCAGTTGGTGTAAGAGTTGTGGGAGTAAAAAAAAAAAATAAAAAATGAGTTATTAAGACATTATTTCAAAAGATGGACAATTTCCACTTTGAAAGTTTAAGCTGTCCCTTCTCACTTGTGTTTTAAGCACACACCAAAAAAACACCCGTGACATTAAGTGTAACTGGATAACGTAAGGACAAAGCTATGTAAACAGAGTTACCAACAAAACTTGTGAAGGATATAGCTGAAAAACAACCCTTTTAGTACAGGACAGCGTACACAGATTTGTCTTCATGCTTACAGAGCCAGAAGAACACTGGCTGCAAGTCTCTATTTTGATGTCAACAAAATTCTACATAATTTTCAAAAAAGGTCACTGAAATCTTCCCACAAAAATAAAATTACACTGTTTTGATAATGCAAGTAATGAAAAAAAAAATCTGTCATTTGTAATAGCAGATGATTTTTTGGATCAGGAAAATATGCATTTTAGTAGCACATGGGTATTACAGTTTTTTATAAGTTGTTTTATCCTTCTCTTGCATGTCAGTTTTCCTGTTTTCATCCTTGCACAGAGAGCACTACCTAAATATTTTTTTCCTCTGAAAAACACCTACCTATTTACCTAGCAGTGAAACCTGAAGTATAGTATATTGGCTGTACTTAGGAAGAGGGAGAAAACTCAGGATACAGTCTCATTTTTCAGAACTGTTACTGAGCTACATCTCAGTAGGCCATAAATGCAGTATTTTCAAACTCTTGTTCCTAGAGTGCATGCATGGTTGTTTCATTCTCTTCCTCCTTTTCTTTGTGTTTACTCTTACACCATTAATGGCAGCAAATATTATCACTGCCCATCCTGGCTAGCGATTTATCTGCTTTATCTGTATATAGAGATGTTTTAATACACATATCTCTATGTACCCATAGAAACCATACATTAATGTATCCCTGATCATTTCCCAAGGCTTCCTGCCTCAGACATTTGCAGCACTCGGCAATGGTTCAAGACATTTCAGTTACACATCAACACTTGCAGGAGGCCACGTTGGTACATCTGCAACAACAGCCCGAGATGCTGTTTTGTAAATGTTTGGCTTTTACAAATGCTGGTCACATTTCTGCAGAAAACAAAGTAAGTGCATATGTTTCAAACAAAAACACTACCCGGATTTTCTGTCACAAGATCAAGAGTGCAAGGAAGTAAGGAAGGGAAAGCAGGGGGAAATCCAGTGACAAATCAGGGTGTTCAAGGAACTCTTGTTCAATTAATGTGGTGTCTGACCGTAGGCACATGAAACTAGCTTTGCTGAAGGAAAGGTTGAGTAGTTCATCTATAGCATTTACAAATGGATCTTACCAAGGGAAAGGCAGCAGTGGTCTCAAAAAGTGGGCAAACCCCAAATCTGGTTTGGCCCTGCCTTCCTTGTACCCCCCTCAGGTTAATGATGACTTGCTCTAATTGACTTCAGTGAGTTCTCTATATTCTCCTGCCCTGAAGAATTTACAGAGAGGCAGAGAACCTTTTAAGCCTCCAACCCCACCTGGAGTGCTCAGACAACATGGTTCTCAAAGAAATGAGAGACTACAAATTTTGTCAGTTGAGCAACACTGAAGAGAAACAGGAAGAGATAAGAAGGCAGTGCTTGCTCTCTCAGTGAACAGTAACAATTTAAAACTGTCACAGCACAAACACAAACAAGTCTCCCCTCCACCCTCACAAGTGCCAAGCTAAGCCACTTGAACTAAACCTCTCTGTTGAAGAGATCTGTTGCAGAACAATAATGTTTAAGTCATTACAGAATAAAATTTCTTAACTGAGCACAACAAAAGATACATGATTAGTTTTGATTGAGTTTGGATACTAGTAAAAAAAAATTGTCAGGTTGATACTGTTATCTTAATGGGAGCAGGACCAGGACTTCACTGCACAGAGAAGTTTAATTTACTGGTTAAAAAAAAAAAATCTATAATCCTATACACATGAAGGTATACTGACAGACTGAAGAAATCAGGAATAAAACTGATGGGCTGTGCTAAAATGAAGCTGGCAAAAGTTACACTAAACTTTTTCCTCTATCTCTGTGAGTCTCGATCCAACACACATCTAGGCAGTTGTTTAACCAAGAATGTCAAGAATGCTTTCATCCCTCATGTAAGAATTCTGACTGACAGCACAGTTTACTCTGAAGCTTTCCTGGACCAAGATCTATATTACATCTAATTAGAGAACAGAAAGGTGAGTCTAGTTCCAACAAGGGGTGCTTCTGGCCATTTCAGGAGTTGTAATTCCAGACAATCTTTCCAAGTATCAGTTTAGAAACTCAGAATCATCCAGTTTAACCACCCGTGACAAAGGACACTAATGATTTACATCAGTAATTTTAATCTCTAAATCCACTGTTGTTACCCCTCTTTTTATCACTTTCTCCAGAGTTGATTTTCTATTTTCACTGTCACCATTCTGAGATCTCTATTCTCGTACTCCATGATTGTGGATCACACCATTTTTCTTCTCAAAATCAATGCATCCATTCCAGCCTCCTCAATGAATCACTTTACTCACTGTGAGAGACAGATGAAGAACTTACCTCGATAATCAACTCCAGAATTTAATTTTACAACAACTGGCCTTCCAATAATTTGTTTTAGGAAGTCACTGGGGGTTTGCTTCCGTAGACTCATGTTGATCTTCTCTGGTAACCTGAAAAGTGAAAACATTAGGATAAGAGACATGCTTCCACATAGTTTTAAATACTGCACAGATAGGCAGACCCCTGATTTGTAATACATTCAGTAGGAGAAATACTGAATGAAATTAAAGCAAAACTTGAGGGTTGAGGTGGGAAGACAGAGCTCATATAGCTATCGCATTAAACTTTCCTTTTGGCATTTTTATTACTTCTGAAAGCGTTAATAAGAATCCTTGTTTGCCATACCATGCAACTTTTAAATTTCAATATTGCCGAAGGCATCATCATCCCTGAAATCTTTTGCTAAAACAGTTTTAGAGGACTAAGTCATAAATAGGTGATTCATGTCTTCAGGTGCGGAGGGAGCAGTCCATCCATGCTCTATACACGGAAGTATGTGCCGGAACAGCAAGAATAGTTTTGCTATCAGCTCACAAACAGAAGTATGAATTTAAAAGCATGCCTTCAGATAATAAAACAGACTAAGTTAAGGCTTGTAATTAGATTACAGAGAAAAGATGCTGTGATTTAAAAACGCAGCAGGCGCACCCAGTTTGGAGCAGGACCCCCTCTCAGTATTCGCTTGACTTCTGCTCTAAAGCCGCTTTGTTCTGCGTTTTAAGCCAAAGGCAGAAATCCCCCGCACGGTGCCGACTTCAGGCCGCTGCTTCCGGGGGCAAATCGCAATGGCCAATTCCAGCCGTGAATCCAGGGATCCTCACTGTTCCCCTATCAACACCCACCGCCACCAGCGCTGCTGGCGCCCCAGGGCTGTGTCCCTTTCCCGGACCACACACGCGTTTGGAGCAGCTCCCCCCGTGTGGAACGATCGCGTTCCAGCCCGGCCCCAGCGCCCTGAGGGAGGTCGCAGCCGCAGCCCGCGGCTCCATGGCGAACCACACGGGGAGCACACGCATGGCCCCGGGCCGGCCCCGCACTCACCGCCCGCCGCCGCTCCCGGCGCTTCCCGCGCCC